GTGCCAAGTCCAAATGTGACTAGTAAAAGTGAATGGGCGGAGTATCTTTTAGTACTTTCTTTCATTGCTGTGAACTTTCTTGGAATATTGGCAATTTGTTGATCCTTCGAAGTTTGTCATTTTCCGTTCTTGCAGTCCATGATAGGCCACTGCCTGGGTGCTGCTGGTGGCCTGGAAGCCATTGCAACAGTTAAAGCCATTAAAACTGGCTGGCTGCATCCTTCCATAAACCAATTCGTATGTTATTTTCTCTTTGGGAACTTAAATTTACAAATATTGACTCATATGCTCATTTTTAATTTGCATATCTCCTGTTATTGTGAATTATGCAGAATACTGAGCCTTCAGTTGAGTTTGATACCGTTCCAAACAAGAAACAGCAGCACGAGATCAATGTTGGTAAGAGAATGTGTGCACTTTTGTCACCATATAATCTTTTTCTCCAGATGAATGGATGGAGAAATAAATGTTCAAGATGTTTGCTAACATTTGTTTTTCATCTGCAGCAATCTCAAATTCATTTGGTTTTGGTGGTCACAACTCTGTTGTCGTGTTTTCTGACTTCAAGCCCTAAGTCAGCTTAGTATAGCAAGAGCAACCTTCTGCTTCTGAGGCTTAATTTAGTGTGGTATAGAGAGGCTGCTTCATCTCAACATAGCAATTGCGAATTTTGGTTGTTTTTGTTCTTTGCAACGACAATCTTAACTTTTTCTGGTATTTTTCCACCTTTAGATAATTGGATGTTTTCAGGCTTGGTTAGGCAGCAACCAGTTTTGAAATATGTAAAAGATAGAAAATACACTATGGTATTTTGAGGTTGAGAGCATTGTTAACACTTTGATTATTTGATCTTCCAGATCTCAATAGTTATTCTTGGTTGTTAAAGCAAGTCCTCACTTGTCTATTAACCCAGAAAATAGAAGAATAAAAAAATTATAGCCAGAAAATGAGAAATGTTGAGCAAGTTGTATCAGCATTTTATAACATAATATTTCTGCGAAGGGTGTTCACTTAACCATCCTTGATACACTGTAGCTCCGCTACGGGGTTGCATCATATATATTCACGCTTAGACTTCCCTATCATTTATTGTATTTTCCTTCCTTTAAATGCACTGGCTTCCCTTCTCACTAACAGATCCGCAGATTGTTGTTATTATATTGTAGAGAAACCTAAAACTGAAAACAGTAAGGGATCGTTTGATTGCTGGTTAAGAAGTGAAATATTTACGTATTAAAATTAGAATAATTAGTATCATGTTTAGTAGCATTTTATTTGTTAAGTATATAATTCAGCATACCAAGTACGATGTCGTTTGATTGTAATTTACAATCGTGCATAACTGATGCATATATAAGTTATGAAAAAATCTACATATTATTTTATAGAAGGTAAAAGATGGAATAACTAATACATAACTGACTAATTCATGTATTATTAATATGTGTATTTGTGATTCCAATCTTGGTAACCCTATGATTTGTGATTCTTTATTGCTTAAGAGAGAAGCTGAAAACGTTGGAAGTGAAATGAGAAAGTGGTCAGTATACGCTGCAAGCTATCCCACATCGCCTCTTTTGTGAAATCCTTATGAATTTATATAGAATGCGTAACTTAGATATAATTGTGTTCGTAGAAAGGAGAGATGGTTGGCATCTCCCCCGACAGGGACGGGAACAGCCTTCGGGCTTTACCTGTTATCAGACACATCCGGTTAAGGCTACCCACTTCGGTGGATCTAACCCAATATTTTTTTGCTTTATCGGTTATCAATGATAGACATGCAAAATCATGAAGATATCGGGTTATTAATCGTTAATGCTTCGATTATCAGTTTAACTATTAAGATATGACACACATAAAATCATGAAGATATCGGGTTATTAATCGTTAATGCTTCGATTATCAGTTTAACTATTAAGATATGACACACATAAAATCATGAAGATATCGGGTTATTAATCGTTAATGCTTCGATTATCAGTTTAACTATTAAGATATGACACACATAAAAAAATAAAAAAAAAAGGTGATAAACTAAAGAACCATGCACGTGAGTTGAAAGATTACATCTTTGCTCAAAAACTAACATTGACACCTTGTAGAATAATCGAGGGTTTGAGACTGTCAGAAATAAATATATGAAACTAAATATTGATCCGTTAAGAAAAAACTTCAAACCATTACAAACTATTAACTCAATATATAAAATAAAATCAATACCATTACCAAAACCGCTAAATCCGTTACCAATAAACCAATAGTAATATTTTTTTCAATTCAATTTTGAACTTCCCTAGTAGTATATAGATATGTTCTTCAGAAGGCCTAATTTGATAAAAGAGATTTAACCATGTATTTTGCAGATAACATAATCTCTCCAAGTATCAAGGATGACATCTCAAAAGAAATAATTTTAACAGTATTTTTTCACCTAAAAAGTAATAAGGGGAATGTTTTCTATGAGGATATAAACCTAGAACAGTACAGACAAGTCCAAATGCTAGAACGGGAGTAATTATTACTGGTCTTCTATTTTTTTCCCTAAAGAGGTTATTGATTTTTTGAATTGAAGTTTCGACACTTCTTGATTGAAACTCAATAATGGGATCCAGCAATCTAGGTCCGTCAAGTCTACTTATCTCCAACTCGTGAACTTAACCAATACAAAGCTTTTCTACAATTCATCATTCATGAACATTGACAAATGAGAAAACACCTTAGGATTGCTAACCAACTTATATATGTATATATATAAAGGAGGAACATAGAAAAGGTGATGTGGCACCTCTCTATTGCCTCCATTCATTTTATTTTATTTTTCTTCTTTTCTTGATATTTTTTCTTATTTCTTTCAAAAAAAAAATTTCTTGCAAAATCATCTTCTTAACTTATACCTCTTCAATTATATAAATTCTATTCTTAAATTAGTATTAATAATATTCATAACTCCCAAACCTTTCATATTCATAACCTCTCAAGCCTTTCATATTCATAACCTCTAATTATTTAATGTGGAAGGTTATATTAACACTATAAAATCACACTAAAATTGTGTGTTATTTTGTAGTCATCTTTGGTTAGAGAATTAGTGGCAGACATGTTACAATATTTGTACGCTTTGAGGTGCATTATCTTTTCCAATATGATTTCATATATTACTTTTAATTAGCAAGTAAGGCTAATATGTCAAAGCATATTTTTGTTTCTTCTAGATAAATTATTTTGTTTTGTTATCTTTATGATTCTCTTTATAACCATAAAAATGGAGATTCATTTTAGGAGTAATAATTTGTTATTATTTTTCTTGACTCTTGTATATAGGATGAAATGAAATCATCTAGAGATGGAGATTAATGGATTTTGAGCTATATATATTGATTGTTCTTGATTTTTTTTAGGTGCTTAAGAAGTAATGTTTCTATTCTATTATTTCCTTTTGAATTGTTTATGTTTTGTCAAAACTGATTATATGTGTAGGAGGACTTATGATTAAATGCAATTTTCTCCTTATTCTTTATCTTTTTCTTCTTTTGCTAGATAATTTTTAACTTATTTAATCATATTTTGCAGATTATAGGAGATATATCTATAAGTGAAAAATGGTTAAGACATTCTTGCATAATTTGATTTTACAAGGTAAAATAATTTGATATGTCTAATATAATTACAACTCTTTCTTTGTTGAAATCATAAATTTAATATTATTTGTTTGTGTTTGTGAAGATATAAATCCCGAGTTTTTTTTAAAAAAAACATTTAATTTATTCTCTTTAGACCTCTATGTAATTCTTAGATAATTTGATTATATTATAATGATAACACTCTTCAAAAAAATTATTGTTCGGGTAAATTCATCTTTCACTTTTTTGTTGATAATATTAATTTATTGTGTTTGTGGGTATAATATTTTAAAACATAGAAACAGGAAATGAGTCAATGGAGATCGATATGCTACTTAAAAAAATTCGTACATATACTTCCATAGTCTGGTGGAGCAATTTTTATTAACAAAAAATGATAGAATATGAGCATTTAAATTTATAATTTTGAAAATACAGTTGATTTTATTAAAAACAAATTATTTATTTATGTGTAAATTTGCAATCTTTAAATTTTTCATTTTTGTTGTTTTCTAGGAGATTTCAAGTTGTTTATTAATAAGTCAAGTTGCGGTCTTTATATTTTTCATATTTGTTGTTTTCCAGGAGTTCTCAAGTTATTTCAAAATTGCGATTAATGTTAATTTTTAAAATACAATTGATTTCCTTGCTTTCTATTTACTCTAATTTGATTGTCTTTTCATTTTCTATAATTAATGTTCTTTATTAGTGTAATAATGTACAAATATTACACCTATTATGTTACAAACAAGTCCAAAGCCACATTGTTAATCCTCTTAATTACTGTGACTCTTTATTCTTAGAAATTTATTATATTGAATGTAATATTTATTTAAAAATGTGAAATATACTTTTTAATATTTTGCGTTTAAGCCAAGCAAAATTAAAAGAAATAGGAATTCGTATGTGTCATTTTTTTGAATCTTTTTTACCTTCTCTTTTTCTCTATGAAATTTATTTTTAATATTTAACTTTCCGAAGTTCACATATATTGATTTCTTAGTGAATTTCATATTTAACCTAAATATTTTTCATAGCTTCTCTTCTATGAAATTATGTGATTAATGAAAAAACATTTTATTAAAGTAATTATTGATATTAGTATGTAATTTATTTTAACTTTCTTCATTTCACGCGGCCCAAGTACACTAGTATAGTACAAAGCACAATTTTTTTAAAATAGTTCAAATAATAATCCACTTCACGCACCACCACTTGGAATGATAGAATTACTTAATGAGAAAATTGCATACTAGGCATCCCTATAAAAGAATATTAGGTAAACCAAAAATCGAGAAATATAACTAAGATTGCAACTGTCAAAGGAAACAAAACACCATAACTCAAAATTGAACATAATAGTCTGATATCTAGTTCTATAAAGAGCGCAAAAGATAATCGATTGATCACAACAAAAGTGTCTTTTTCCTCCCCTAGCCGGTGAATGTTGAAATCCACTAGTTCAGAGAACCAAAATTGAAGTAATTTGAAAGAGCAACTCAATCCACTAGAAGATCAAAACACGTTTTACATAAACAAGTTAGGTTTGGTGGCCTTGTAGGTTGTCTTGAGTTTCCTGGTAGGTGGCCTGACTTTCTTGAACACCAACGGGAACTTGATTTTGGAGTCATGGAACTGCTTTGTGCTCTCCCGCTTGCAGAGCTTAGCTGGAATAGTGGCTGTCTTGATGATCTGGATGCAATGATGGCGGACCCTGTGGCGAGAAGCCATTTCAGTGTACATCTGTTCTACACCACCATTCAATGTGGTGTCACGGTACTCCTTGTACATGTTATGATACCCAGTCCTACTTTGGTAACGCAGCCAAATACCATAGTTCTTGATTTTTGTTGGGTACTTCTCAAAAATCTACGAAAAGAAACACAAAATCTCAATAACAATGTTCAGCATCTATGTCAATGGATGAAGTATAACCACAAAAATATACCATGAGAAAATATGCATAATCATATATGAGAAAGGAAATAGTACTCCCTCTGTTTCAATTTGTTTGTACTACTTTCCTTTTTTAGTCTGTTAAAAAATAATGCAACTTTCCTTTTTTTAGCAACTCTTTAATTTCAACTTTCTACGTGACATGTTTAAGACCCCAAGGTTAGTTTTGGTACATTTGACATATCTTTAATTTTAAACCACAAAATTCAAGTCTACGTTTCTTTCTTAAACTCCATGTCAAATCAAAAACAGGTCAAAGAAATTGAAATGGAGGAACTTTTAATAACCATTACAAGAATACATACATAGATTATGGCTACCTCCAAAACCTGGAACTACTGAGTCAAAGGCTACATTCTGCAGTAGTACCGTGATATTTAAACCATTATGAAAGTCTGGCCAAATTACAGACATGCAATTATTTAAAGAAATTCTATCCAAGAAAATAAGTATTACTTGTTAAAAAGTAGCATCGTGTTTTTTTTCTTTCAAGACCTCACTTGTGGAATTTTATTAGGTATGTTGTTGTTATAGTCTTTCTCTTTGCATTTTTCATCCAAACCTATGCACATCTTTTTATTTTTTATGATTTACCCCCAACCTCTATCACACTATAACAGACCTCATTTCAAAGAGCAAAGAGGAATAACATAAATTTAGTGCACCACCACCACTAGGAATGACATGGGAATTGAAAATGATATCACCCAGACAAGTTAAATAAAATCTAGAAGACAACAATTGATCACATGCAAAGACTAACATTGACAAGTCTATACAAGCTTCGATTGGCAAACAAATGGAAGATTTCACTTAGGTGACCCCGACATACCAGATTACTAGGAAACTACTATTCACGCATCATAACAGATTAACAGAAACATTTACTTTAGATAACCAGCAAAAGAACTTAACCATAGACACATTTATCAAGTAAAAGTACAAATTAATCATGAACTCCAACAATAATAACTAGGGACTATACAAATCAAATAAGCAACAACATTACAAATCTTGCTATTAATTCATCCCAATGACACATTTTATCAAAGAGAAAATTAAGAAATGCATTTGATCATACCTCATTAATAGCTAGCATCTGACCATTGCTCTTCTTCACCTTCTTTAGCTTCCTCAAGAAGTACCTTTTCCAGCCAAATCAAACACCACAATCATCAGAGACAGATCTATGGGTCGGGAGGGTGTTCACCCCAAAAAATACACCATCTATAAGATATTTTTCATGTACATATATAAATTTTGAATCCTCAACATAAACACAAGTCTATAGGTTAGTTTAGCACGTTCAAAATTAAACCTGATCACAATGCACTAATTTATTTTCCGAGCCACTAAGTGAAAATCTGTATATGCCACCGCCAATCATTCCCCCAACACATAAGAGTATGTTTGATTCATATGACACTATAGTAGTTAGGAACTAATACCAATTGGAAGGGGTGGGAGCTAATAATGAGATGATCATATGACAAAAAACACACACAGAGGGTGAGAAAAATTACCAGAACTTGGACTTGGCACGGACCTCATTTGTAGCCCAGAGTTTCATACGGTAAATCTTTGGGTGCTCATCGTTTTCTGACGGTAGAGCTCTCCCTACAACCTGGTATTGATGGAACTACAACAACAACAACACAAATTCCAGTTATTATTGCAACAAATACACGAGAAAATCAAGAAAAATTGTTAAAATTTGTTTGTGATACTAACTTTGTAGGTCACCATTTTCTGCCCCGGCTGCTTTGCGTCTGAATATTTGGGAGGCGTCTTCAGTCCGAAAAAGTGAAGGACAAATAAGATAGGGTTTTATGTTAAAGGAAAACCCTAGTCTTAATGGGCTGTCTAAACTAGACCCATATTCTTTTATTGGGCTTTTAACTATGGCATGTTCAGCCCAAGTGCACAAATAGCCAATTTTACTAGAGAACATTATCCAAATCTCATACCGTTAAGAGATGATTACATCATATTCTTATTGTTTTCTAAATTACAAAAATTTCTTAAATTTGGTGGAATTTGAATACATTCCAAAATGTTTTGATACATTGCGTCCTGATTTCAGATACATTACTCAGCGTCCCGATTTCAGATACATCACTCAACGTTCCGATACATCGTGTCTCGGTTTCGGATACATCACTCTATGTCCCAGTACATCTGACCGATACATCGCTTAAGTGATGTATCCGAGAATAGGAGAGAGTAGGGATTTTTTGTAAAAAAAATTCAAAATGGTAAGAAATTTTAGAAAATATGATAAAATAAATTATGTATTTAAGTAATTTTTCCAAAACATAACAATATTATGTATATTAATAACAGACATACAAGATACATGTATATGTATATCTGAAAATCTTTTCTCAATAGAGACAACAATAAACTCCCGACATACACACAATTGGTCTCCCTATGCACTTAACATATACTTTATATATATAGTTGGCCTATACATACAACTTGAAAATACATATACTGAATTCAGTTGGTCACAAATATAATTGATGTTTTCATATATATTCAACTTCTACTATGAAAATACATGTATACACATTCAATTAAAGATTAGATATTATATTTGTGTGATTTCAGCAGAATGCCTTCACGGGCAGAGGCGAATCTAGGATTTCAAGAAGACGGGTGCACCATTGTAGGGATGGCTTTACCCCTTTAAAAAAAAAGGCAACTACTTTAGGCTTCCACATTTGAAGGACCTCAATTATCTTAGCAGATATAACTTTTTCATAAGAAAAATATTAAATATCATTTGCAAAAAAAAATTATTAAGAGAAAAAGTTATTAGAAGAAATTTGATATACCTAGAGTACTACGTCGCAAGAAAGATTAAATGCATTGGTTAAATGAATTATTGATTGAAAATTAATTATTAAAAGAATCCAATTATAAAAAAATATACAATTTTACATCTCAAGAAATTTAAAAAGTAGACTTTATAAAAAGAAGGGAAAAAGGACAAAGCATATATTTTCAGAATTTAGCTTCTTTTTTTTTTTAATGAAAAACGTGTTTTTAGTTAATTAAATAAAATTGAAGCGAACTGGGGCTGCCTGAATCGAACCTGCAACCTTTGTGTTGAAATCTTGCACTTGTACCATTTTGAGAACGGGTTCCACAAGTTTTAATTTAATATATTCTTTAATAATTATAAAAGTAATATATCGTGTTTAGTCGGATGACCACGGATTCCGGTGACCCAAAATTTGTACATAAATTCGCCCCTGTTCACGGTTAATATAAACACTTTTCGATTAGCTAAAACAAAATAACATTAGTGCCTAAAATGGTTAATCTAACTGTCAGATCTTAAACTCATATAAGAGAATTGAACTACTTTTAATAAAACTGCATAAAATAACTATTCAACACATGTGTCATGGTGATGATAAGTACATCACAACCTAAATAAGTTTAAAATGTTGGACAAGTCCAATTGCTCCGAGTACATTGTCCTAAGGAACAACATCATTTGCCCAAAGGTTGTTCATAAGGTCCTGTATCAGACATAGGTTAAGCTTTTGATGGCCTTATATATGAATTTGTTCCAAGATTTGAATTCACAATGCAATATTATTAAAAGTCATGTTAATCAGAGTCATTAGCTGAGATGAGATGATCATTACGCTGGCTATATTGACCACAATACACTGCATATTTTTAAATACTATTTTGATAAAAAGAAAAAAGAAAAAATTGCCATTCTCATCAAGGGGACTGCAATTCAAGAGTCAGTGTGCTTCATAGAAAAACACTGTTATAAAGGTTGACACTAATATAAGATTTAATTGCTGCTTTCTTCCAAAATTTAGGAATGAATTTGATTTTTATTCGACACAACTAATTATTGCTTTCTTCCAAATTTTTGGGTGACCTGGTTCAATTATTTCAGTGTAGAGCACCTTTTCTAAGGATAAATGTCATGAATAATCACTTTTCAACTCGTGTAATCAATGGCCAACTACCTTTATCTGTTAGCTATCTTGAAAGTAATTTGCACTAACTGACCTTCGAGGTGGCCCAGTGGTTTGGGCTTGGGACTTTCATGTTGGAGGTCTCAAGTTCAAAATTCCTTGCCAGCGAAAGTAAGGGGTTTGTCTTCTAGGTCAAGTTCGTCACACCGGGCTTGCCTAGTGCGGGTTACCTCTTCTATGTGGTTTGCGAGCTATTGCATAGGAACGGGGTTTTACCCTGTGCGCACCCAAAGGATAGCGACCGCGAGTTTCCCTTGTCATCAAACAAAAAAAAAAGTAACTAGCTTCCGCATTACACCTGCTTATTTCGGTCCTAACACATAGAGCCAAAGGAAAACCTATTTATGAATTTCTTACCATAAATAGGTTTTCCTTTTAGGAAAAGGTTTTGGATTGGCTAGTCCTTTTGTTGTAGGAAAAGGTTTAGGATTCTATAAATATAGGTTTGTTCCTTCTAACTTAATCAGCATTCACAATGTAGTCTTAAGGGCTTTGAGAGTTTTGGTTAGGGGGAGAATTTGTGGGTCACAAGCTTGATACGTTATCACTTGTGTGAACCTCCCATGTATTCCTAGTGAATTGGTTGAGGTTATTTCTCTCTATATTTTGTACTCTCATATTTATAGTGGATTGCTCATCTCCTTTGTGGACGTAGGTCGATTGACCGAACCACGTTAAATCTGTCTCTTTTGGTGTGTTTCTCGTTTGTCTTCTTACTCGTGGTCTTTCAAGGTTTGCTTTGCTAGCTTCCGCATTACACCTGCTTATTTCGATCCTAACAAGTGGTATCAGAGCCATGGTTCAATGATGGAGTCATGTTAGAGATAGGCGTTCATCTTGGCAGGTGTAGTTCTAGCCACAACCTTTTTTGACAGTAACGAAGATTTTTGTTGGAGAAATTATTTCAGAGAGGTTCTCTATGTTGAGACATAGATTTTGTAAAGGAGATTATGGAGAGGAGAAGCAAGCTGTTGAAGATTATGTGAAGAAGGTGGACAAATTTATTTTGTCAGAAATTCAGGTCAAGGGGGAGATTTGTTGGGTATTATTTGCCCTGATTTCTTACCATAAATAAGTTTTCCTTTTAGGAAAAGGTTTTAATATTTTACTAGTCTTTTTCTTGTAGGAAAGGTTCTAGGACTCTATAAATATAGGCTTGTTCCTTCTAACTTAATCAGCATTCACAATGTAGTCCTAGGGTTTTGGTTAGAAGGAACAATGTAATCTTAAGGGCTTTGAGAGTTTTGGTTAGGGGGAGAATTTGTGGGTCACAAGCTTGATACGTTATCACTTGTGTGAACCTCCCATGTATTCCTAGTGAATTGGTTGAGGTTATTTCTCTCTATATTTTGTACTCTCATATTTATAGTGGATTGCTCATCTCCTTTGTGGACGTAGGTCGATTGACCGAACCACGTTAAATCTGTCTCTTTTGGTGTGTTTCTCGTTTGTCTTCTTACTCGTGGTCTTTCAAGGTTTGCTTTGCTAGCTTCCGCATTACACCTCCTTATTTCGGTCCTAACACATAGAGCCAAATGATGCAAAATTTGAAGATTGTCTCTTATATTCCTACTTAAACTCACAAATCTGGGGTATAGAATCAATATTACCAAGATATAATATTACAACAATTGATTTTGGAGATTCATTAGGAGACTTTTGTTTCGATACTTTAGTCTAAACAGCCTTATTGTTGTATTTGACTAGAAATACATTTGTTTACAAGTTCTTGCACTTGAAGATGTACTTCTTTCCCATATCCATAATTCAACCTTCAATAAAGAGCACATACTGTATAAGAAGGGATAAGAGTTCTCACATTTGAATCAAAGTCATCAAAGTAGTGAATCAATCTGCATAACATTAGAAGAAAGATGAGTCCATTCCCTAACACTCTTAGAGGTCGTTTGGTAGAGTGTATTAGGAAAAATAACGCATGCATTAGCATTGTGTATTACTAGTACCTTGTTTGGTACTCTTTTCCAACCTATGTATAACTAATGCTTGCATTAGTTATACAATCTATTGTGTATTAAGGTGTGTATTGCTAATACCATGGATTTCTAGGTATTAGCAATGCAATGGTTTTAATGCATGCATTAGATTAACTAATGACAAAACTACCCTCTAAGCCTAATAATAATAATTATTATAATAATATTAATTATAATAATAATAATATTAATTATAATTATAATTATAATTATTATTATTATAATAAGAATTATAATTATAATTATAATAATAATAATGTGGGGGTATTTTTGTAAACAAATATTTTTTAATAGTCTTTATACAAGGCTTGTTATTTCCAATACATTAAACCAAACAATGTATAAGAAATAATGCAAGCATAACTAATGCATGCATTACTAATACATCATATTCAGCATTATTCTTATACACTCTACCAAACGACCCCTTAAAGAATAAACTGAAATTTGACAGAAGTAATTTCACAAAGATTTTTTTTATATGAATTGATGGTGAGAAACAGTCTCTCCACTTGAATTTTGTATACAGTAAATAAATGAACTTTGAATAGCCATTCACATTCCCAAATCTCCTAACATATACAAAATTCAAAGAAACATCAAATAGTAAGAAGCCATAAAAATTACATGCAAGCAGGGTCGTCTCAACAAGTTTGGGGGCCTAAAGCTAAACTTCATAAAGAGGCCTTATTTGTTTAGTTGACAAATATAAATTGAATAATTATAACATACTCAATGTAATCTTACAAATGAGGTATGGAGATGCAAGATATATCCAGACATTATGAAGTAAGAATGCAAATAATGTAAATTTTCAATAAAAATTATATAATATAAAGTTAGAATAATAAAACATGACTCAAATTTTTAAAAATATGATGATATTAAAATAGTATCGCGATGAATTTGATAAGTTGATATAATAATATCAAAATATTATTGGTTAGTTTTAGTGCTTGAAATTCGAATAAGACACCAAAAACAACTTTGATTTTTTT